TCCTCTCCTCCCCCTGACGGAGCGGCGGGGATATTTCCTCCCCCCATGGGGAGGGCGAGGGGGAGAGAGACCGCAGCCGCCGCCCCCCCCCCTTAGCAATTCACTCCGCTAATGCATTGCAAATCCAATTTGCAAACCAGAAGATATGCACCGTTTCGAATTGGTCAAATGCGATATAATTAGCATTTTAATTCGCCCTTTAAACGTTTAAATTGCGCTGATTTAGAGTCTGCAGAATACCGGGATGCGGGGGGGGGGGGCGGGGGGGGAAATTAGCGGAGCAACTCGATAACTTTCAGCAAAGCAAGATCCGCGGCGCTCCCAATTTACCTCCTGTCCTTAACAACCCGCGAACAATAAGACCTCCTGGCAACTTGCTGCCGCTCCCCCCCCCAACCCCCCTTCTTTTGCCTCGAGAAAGTCAAAGAGAGGGACGCTTGAGAGCGGCCCCGAAGCTCCTACATCCAGATCGCCCGGCGGGGACCGACCGAGGGAGGGGACCGCGGACACAACGAATCCCTTCGCCCCGCTTCCCCAGCAGCGGCGAACCCTTTCCCGGGGCGGCCGGCAGAGAGGTGCAAAAACCGCCCGGTCGCGATCGCCGACCCCGCACGACGCCCCCGGCCAGGAGGGGGGGGATCCAGAAGAGCCCCCCCCAGCCCGCCTGAGTTTCCGCCCGGACTCCGGACCCCCATCCGCCAAGCTCCCCTGTCCCCGGCGGGAGGGAAAGACGAGAAGGGGGACGGGGAGGCGGAGATGGGAACGAGGCGGGAGGAAGGCGCGGGGGCGCCGGGAGAGAGGCCGGGACGGGAGAGGGCGAGCGGCGGGGCGCGGGAGTGCCCGCGGCCGGTGCGCCCAAGCCCAGCTCTGCCCGGAGCCCCGGCCCGGCGGCGGCGGCTACCCACCATGTACGAGGGGAATCCGGCGGCCGGGTCGGTGGAGTACTGGAGCGGGCTGCCGAAGCCGGTGGCCGCCGCCTGGGCCGTGAACGCCGCCGATCCCGGGTAGGGGCTGAACGCCGAGCCCGACGACGACCGGGCCAGCTCCTCGCTGCGGGGCGCCGCCAGCGCCGACGCCCCGTACGCCGGGCAGGAGTAGAGCGCCAGCGAGCCCGGCGGCTGGTAGAGGTAGCCCTGCGGGTAGGACATGGCTGGGCAGGGCCGGGCCCGGCGGAGAGCGCCGCTGCTGCCGCCGCCACCGAGGAGCTCACAGCCTCCCCGCCATCGGCAGCAGGCGCGGCAGCCAAAAGGCGAGCGGGCGCCGGGCGGAGGGGACGCGCGCGCCCCCGCTCCGGCTCTCCCCGCCCGCCCGCCCGCCTGCCCGCCTGCCACTCAGCCGAGGCTGGAGGAGGAGGACGACGACGAGGAGGAGGAGGAGGAGCCGCGAGGGGCGGGCAGCAGAGGGGGGAGGAGGAGCGGCGGCGGCGGGGCAGGCGGGAAAGGGAGGCAGCCTCGGCCGGCTGGCCGCTCTCCCGCGCTCGCAGCCCTGGCGCCCCCTGCAAAAAGGACGCCGCGGGTCCCGGAGCGGGGCAGAGGAGCCCCCCTCGCGGGCGCATTGGCAAAGGAAGCTGTCCGTCACGGCGGCTCGTCCGCCCGGGACACGCCCCCTCCCCCCCACCTGGCTGCTCTCCGGGAAGGGCGGGAGCCTGGCCGCTTGCTCGCCCCCCCCCGCCCTTCTCGAGGCCCCGCCCACCCCCG